AAGAAATTAAAAGTAGAGTGTCTAAGTGTAGGCAGGAAAATATGACCCATATAATATATCTATCGCCCAAGGAGTCCTACCGAATGTCTATAGATCAAGCCAACGAAACGTTGGGACCCGCAGTGCTCAGGCACGTGAAGAACGGGTCGTTCCCAGAATCCCAGTATAATATATCCATTCACATACACAAATTAATATTCAGGACGGTGACAAAGGATGGGTTGGTCAGGACAAATGAGACGAGGAATGCATGGAGAACTTTTGTTGGTAAACATCTTTGAAAACATAAACGAGTATGTGAGAAAGCCATTAAGATGGATCTATGAGAAGTAAGTTAGTTGTATGTGACACGGACGGAACTATTTCGTGACCATGCTCAATGGCGTGCTTTGGCATTAACAGTGCTGAAACCTCGTGTTTTGTACCGAAGTGTTAATCAGGCACAACTATTTTATCGCAGTTTTCTGTTCTTTTATTTAAATACTTTCTGCTACATTTTTATTCCTCACTAGAAATTACTATTACTACAATAGAATTTCTACATATGTTACTTGTAAGGTCTCTTCTGTGTCTGCGCACTATAGACAAAGTTCAACACTATTGATCCTCTGCAGTTGACATGACGTCGTTGACTGGTCTAAGAAAACAGTAATAACCATAAACATTGGTGAGCTCGTTTACTGCTACTGTGCTCGTGTAAAGATAATGGGACCTGAAACCTCGCTATTCACAGACGTCGCTTCGTTTCGACATCAGTGCCCCGTTCTATCAAAAGACAACAGGAAATTATTCGTGACAAAAGGCCTACATGTATCAGAAACACATAGAAACGTCAGTCTAAAATGGAGCTCTAAAACTGGTCCTATATAATAACCCTAAACCAAATTTTAGGCTGTTAGATAAACTGATTGTGCACTGAGATGATGGCGCCTTCTCAATGCAAATGCCCCCCCCCCCCCAATAACAGCAATAAAACACATGTCAGTTCAAATACGCCGACGCCATCAACAAAAACGAACCGTAAGTGGCTACATTCCTTATTTCGACACCACATTGCCTGTCGAGCCACGACAGATGTAGAATTCTTTTATGTAAAAATAATAAGGATGTGCTATTTTTTACATCTGAAATTCATTGTCTGAATGTCTTCCTACACAACTGACTAAGCAAACGATAACTTAACTGTACAGATAATTTACTGTTAACAAAACTCAAATGTTAACCACTGCCTGTCATTTGACAAGATCCTGAGCCAATTTCATCAAGTTCGTCCTCTCACAACAAACACCTCTAAGATCCATCCTAACCTAACCTTTTAGCCTCATTTTTGATGTCCCAAACAACCCCCTCCAAGAGGACTTCATACCAAAATTATGTTTAGTATTCATTGGCCTCACACGGGCTACATGACCTGTCAAACTTTTTTATTTAATTATACCTGAAAATATTAAAATAAACTATTTATCTGAGGATCGGTGGTAGCTGTTTTCGGTTTTCTGAAGCACATATTGTAAGAGTTACAATCCACATGGTTGGGGCTAATATAGAATACATAATATTTACATACTGTTCTCGCAAAATATACCGGTTCCAGTGTATTCCTAATCTGGAAAAAATCACTCTCTTAAACCATTACTCTCAAACCCAGGCACACGGAGAACATTAACAAATACTTTGTTAAGAACTCGGAAGAAACGTCGACTATTTTAAAAGTCACGGTCTTTTTCTCAGTCGGGTGAAATAAAGTTTACTTAAGCGCTCCTTGAATTTATGAGATCAGATTATCTAGTACTATCTTAATTAACCTAATCTGAACTTCATTCAACCGATTACAGCTGGTAAATCAAAATTTTTAAATCCGCCTCATTAAAAAAACAGTGTGTCAGCAGTCCATCTCGGATCGATAATGTAAGCATACAGAAACTGCAATCATCCGAAGATGATGTCATACTGAATATGTCTGTGTATAATATGGTCACTGATATTAATTCTAAGACTATAAGCTGACTTTTCATTTGAATTACCAAGAAGACTCCGTGGCCTCATAAATCATGCTGCATTTAATCCACGTTTTATCAAACTCGTAACAAGTAGAATGTGTTATGAAATAGTATTTCATCAGCCTGCAAAATTAACTGTCAGCATCAAGTTGCCTGGAGCCAAAATATATTATTTCGATCTCGTTTAGATTCCTCCATGTATAACATAAAATATTACCCTTACAGACTCAATAATT